ACACTAAACAAGTTGTGGTCTCGTTTAGGACTAAACACAATATTATCAAACGTAATAGCAAACGTATACGCAAACAAACAACTGAAACCTAACAGTCTAGACATTCTTTGTGTGAAAAAACAGGCAGGATTCCCTGATGGTGTGCTCAACGTAGTGACTGGTTTTGGAGCAACTGCTGGAGCTGCCATTGCCTCTCATATGGACATAGACAAAGTAATAGTTATTGTCTTATGAGTTTCAAGGATCCATCGATCAGTTGTATGTGAAATCATGAATATTTTCTGTTTCTTATATTTCAGGTTAGCTTCACAGGATCAACAGATGTTGGGAGGAAGATAATGCAGGCCTCAGCCGCAAGTAACCTCAAGAAAGTGTCCCTTGAATTNGGCGGGAAATCGCCTCTTCTCATATTTGACGATGCAGATGTTGACAAAGCCGCTGATATGGCGCTCCTCGGTTGCTTCTACAACAAGGTATATATTACAGTGACCAGTACCGATCAATGTTAACATATTATGTGATATTGGTATGTAAACATATTTGGTGGATCGTGCAGGGTGAAATTTGTGTGGCAAGCTCTCGTGTGTTTGTTCAAGAAGGTATATACGACAAGGTTGTGGAGAAGTTAGTGGAGAAGGCAAAAGATTGGACCGTTGGCGACAGTTTTGATTCCACTGCTCGACAAGGACCTCAAGTAAATAAAAAAGACTAATCTAGCAATTGATCTTTGATTTGAGTAGATTTAAGTAGACTGTATGGTTGATTATTTTGGGTTTCTTCAGGTGGATAAAAAACAATTTGAGAGGATTCTCTCTTACATTGAGCACGGCAAAAACGAAGGAGCAACCTTATTAACTGGAGGAAAAGCCATTGGAGACAAAGGATACTTCATCGAACCAACCATATTCGCAGATGTCACGGTAAGTCGCAAATTATTTCTTGATTCGTTTACTAACTATGTATGTAACTGATGTCAATTTTGCTGACTACAGGATGATATGAAGATATACCAAGAAGAGATCTTCGGACCAGTCATGTCTTTGATGAAATTCAAGTAAAAAAAAAAAAAAACCCATAGCATTTCTCAATGTTTTTTTTGTCACATTCCACAACGCTTATACAGTATCTGGGCGAATTGTTGCTTTGACAGGACGGTAGAGGAAGGGATCAAATGCGCGAATAACACGAAATACGGGCTAGCAGCAGGAATAATGAGCCAAAACATAGACTTGATCAACACGGTTTCAAGATCAATCAAAGCTGGAGTCATTTGGGTCAATTGCTACTTCGCATTCGACCTCGATTCTCCTTACGGTGGCTACAAAATGAGCGGTAATTGTCGCGAAAACGGTATGGACGCTCTCGACAGCTATCTACAAGTCAAATCCGTCACAATGCCTATTCACAATTCCCCTTGGATGTAATTAATAATAATATTGTTCATATTCCAAACACAAGCAAAAATAAGAACCAACACTTTTCATCTACTTGTTTTTTCTCATGTTTCATGTATGAAATAATACTACGTCGTTTTATTTATTTTACATTTTTACCCCTGAGTTTAACACCTAGAACCTTCTCCATTTTAGCGAGCACGGCTTGGTTCGGAACGGCTTTACCGTTTTCGTATTCCTGAACCACTTGAGTACGCTCGTTGATCTGTTTGGCTAGATCTGCTTGTGACATCTTCTTCTCCAGTCGTGCCTTCTGTATCGTTAATCTTACCTCTGCTTTCACGCGATCGATCGCGGAAGGCTCTGTCTCCTCTTCGAGTTTCTTCGGGTTTTTCACCGGCGCAGCCGTGGATTTCCCTTTTTTGTTCGAACCGGCGTCGAATTTCTTCACCGTCTGTACCGAGACGCCGGTCCTGAGCGCTGCGTTAACCGCCTTTGGATCTCGCAGGTCTTGACTCTTTTGCTTCGATTTGTGTAGCACCACTGGCTCCCAGTCTTGCGTCACTGCTCCTGGGTATCTACTCGGCATCGTCGCTCTAATCGAGAGAGAGAAACAAACAAATTCTAAGAAATTAGTTTCTGAAATTGAGAACAATGAAGACGATGAAGAAGCTTGGAGAGGATTGTGAATTTATACACGAAGATCGGTTTCTGGAGAATTCGATCATCTTTTTGATTCTATTTTAGTCTCTGGAAAGTTCTCAGAACTGGAATTACGTGACGTGTCCACATCTTATTTGGTGTCAATAGAGTGACGTGGCGTGACTTGTTACTTCGATATATCCAACGGTACACAGTAAAGAGAAGAGAATCGGACGGTCATTAAGGTCCCAAGACTGACACAGTCAACAAAATTAGACCTAAAGGAGTTTTTGGCGCTAATTTTCCCCCCTCTCTCGATTTCTCTGATATCAAAACATCGATTCTCTCCCTCTCTCTATCTCACACACACACATTCAGTTCCAAAATGCAGCGGCAGAGGTCGATTCTGTCTTTCTTCCAGAAGCCATCGCCGGCGACTAAGGGTTTGGTTTCTGGCGATGCTAATACCAGCGGCGGCGGAGGAGGATCACGATTTACTGTGAAGGAAGGGGATGATGTTGCTCATGGCGACGCTTCGGTACGCTCTGCGGAACGAAATGTATTGAAATCTGTGGATGAGGTTAGAGGAACGGATACTCCGCCGGAGAAGGTTCCGCGTCGTGTCCTTCCGTCCAGCTTCAAGCCGGCTGAATTCGCCGGAGGAGCTCCGTCTCTGTTCTCCAATATCATGCATAAGTTTGTTAAGGTCGATGATCGAGAATGTTCTGGAGAGAGGTAACTATCTTCGTTTTTCTCTTGTTTTTTGAATCATTTGCTGGAGAGATTAGGTCTAGGCTCGAATTTCTTGAGTCGATTCATATTTCAATGATAGCAGTACGGTAAAATCAGTCGCTAATACTGTATTTCATGGAAGATTGTTTGTGTTGTTTTAGAAGAAGATTGTTGTTGTTCATGGTGGAGATTCTGATTGATTGCGTTGAATCATTGTTTGGAAATTTTCAGGAACGGAGAACATGTTGTTCCGCTTCATGATTCTTCTGTATGTATGAAGGCTGATAATGTTTTCCCTCAGTTTTGTTCCAATAACGATCAACCACAAGAAAGAGACCATGCTTTTAGCGTCAGTGGGACAGATAATCTAAGGTCAATAGAAGATGTAGGAGTAGATGATGATGTTCTTGGCCCAGAAACACCAGGGATGCGTCCAAGTGTTTCTCGTTTGAAGCGAGTTCTCGAGGATGGAATGACTATTAAGGAGAATAAGGTCCCTGTATTGGATTCTAACAAAAGGCTGAAGATGCTCCAGGATCCGATTTGTGGAGAGAAGAAAGAAGTTAACGAAGGAACCAAATTTGAATGGCTTGAGCCTTCTCGGATCAGGGATGCCAATAGAAGACGGCCTGATGATCCGCTTTACGACAGAGAGACCCTATACATACCAGCTGATATTTTCAAAAAGATGTCTGCGTCGCAGAAACAATATTGGAGTATCAAGAGTCAATATATGGATATTGTGCTTTTCTTTAAAGTGGTTAGTGAATATCAATCTAGTCTACAAACCATTTCCTCAATGCGCTTGGTTCACTTACATTGGCTTATGTAATGTTCTTCTTAGGGAAAATTTTATGAGCTGTATGAGCTAGATGCAGAAACAGGTCATAAGGAGCTTGACTGGAAGATGACCATGAGCGGTGTGGGAAAATGCAGACAGGTAAATTAGTTGACACAACTGGCCTGCTTGATTCTTTGCTTTTAGCAAGTCTATAGATTTGACATCCCCTTTTTTATCAGGTCGGTATCTCTGAAAGTGGGATTGATGATGCAGTGCAAAAGCTAGTAGCTCGTGGGTAAGGAAATTATCATACTCTTTCAAATTCCTTGCTGCCACGTTGGTTAAGATTTAAAACATGAAGATCACTTCAGTCATCATTAATTAGGATTCTGATAATTTACAATGTTTCTTCTCGGTTCTCATTTTATATTAGCCTTTTCATCTAGGAGTAAAAACCAGTACGTGAACAATATTTGTGTTCTCTCATTGGCAGTTAAACCAAGTAAACTTTGCTAGTTAACTACAGCAACAATTACCAATAATTTACACTTTACTTATGTGGTACACTCATTTGTCTTTCATGGAGGGTTTCAAGCCTTGTGTTGAAACTGGATTAATACATGTTTTCAACCGGAACTAATAGGCATGTTCATATGTATTCCTTCTCCACGACTTTTGTATTGACACATTCATTGTTTCTTTTTGAAGATATAAAGTTGGACGAATCGAGCAGCTAGAAACATCTGACCAAGCAAAAGCCAGGGGTGCGAATACTGTAAGTTGTCATGGGGCAGGTCAAGGATGGTGCAAACTGTTCTTTATCATTTCTCTTTCTGCTACACTAGTTTCATGCTGTAGGTAACTCAATGGTTGCTCTTTTCTGATTATCAGATAATTCCGAGGAAGTTAGTTCAAGTAATAACTCCATCTACAGCAAGCGAGGGTAACATCGGTCCTGATGGTGTGCATCTTCTTGCTATAAAAGAGGTTTGTTATTTTTCTTATACTAGTAAAATTTGTTCGAGTCCTCCAAACGTACACTCTCTTTAGCAAACTTCCTTCCAGGAGGAAGGATTTTGGGATTAGAATGTCAAGATCTGCTGTTTGTTTTATTTGAAAGAGATTCCCGTGAATTGCAGACCAAAGCTCTTTTAAGGTTCTCTGAACTCAAAGAGTTTCAGTCCTGTAACAGAATCCCCTTTTTACAATGATAATAGTGTCCAGTTGCATTTAAAGGAGTCTCAGTCCTTGTTAGTCCCTTCTTTTTATAATGACCATTGTTTGTGTTATGTTTGACTCATGTGCTGGGGAAAATGATAGCAGATCTAAACCCTACGTTAAGCATGATAGAGTTAATGCAAAGCATTGATGTTGGATAGCTGTTTAGGAGTAGCTCAGGAATTGGCTTTGGTTATATTGCATATTTGCATAATGAATTGATGTCAATTTTGCTTCTGATATTTGACTTTAGATCAAAATGGAGCTAGAAAAATGTTCAACTGTGTATGGATTTGCTTTCGTTGATTGTGCTGCCTTGAGGTTTTGGGTCGGGTCCATCAGCGATGATGCCTCATGTGCTGCTCTTGGAGCTTTATTGATGCAGGTATGCAAGTGTATTCTGTATCTTGAGTCTGCTCTGTGACTTTGCGCGCATATTTTTGGTTTGCAGGAATTAATTCTGAATCACCTTTTCACCTTTTGGTATTATTTCCAGGTTTCTCCAAAGGAAGTGGTATATGAAAGTAAAGGTACACTATACACCCAGTTGTTTTTTCAAATAGAATCTAAGGTTGAGGAGGCTGCTTAAGTTTTAATTGCGTACACGTTTAAATATTGCAGGGCTATCAAGAGAAGCCCAAAAGGCTCTAAGGAAATATACATTGACAGGTACCATTTCAGTAGGCAACCTGACTGAAAGTTTGACGTCTTCTAGCTGCTCACTCAATGATAGATCTCTTAAACATTTCTAATGCAGATTATGTTGGTGTTTCATTTTTATAGGGTCTACAGCAGTACAGTTGTCTCCAGTATCACAAGTGATGGGGGATACGGATGCTTGTGGAGTGAGAAATATGATAGAATCTAACGGATACTTTAGAGGTTCTTCTGAATCATGGAACTCCGCTGTTGATGGTCTAAGTGCATGTGATATTGCCCTTAGCGCCCTTGGAGAACTAATAAATCATCTGTCGAGGCTAAAGGTGGGTTAACTTGGTTAGTTTTCGCTTTTCACAAGTTAAAGCAAATGAAATCTTCATAACTGAAAGGTCCAATCTTCTTGCAGCTAGAAGATGTACTTAAGAATGGGGATATTTATCCGTACCAAGTTTACAGGGGTTGTCTCAGAATTGATGGTCAGACGATGGTAAATCTTGAGATATTCAACAATAGCTGTGATGGTGGTCCTTCAGGTAAGTGCATGCATGTTTTTTTTATAGCCTCAAGTAGAGGATTAGACACAAGAGTGAATATTCATATTCCAAATACTTGTTACATACTGTTACGTATTTGCTAATTTTTATTTGCTTTGCAGGTACCTTGTACAAATATCTTGATAATTGTGTTAGTCCAACTGGTAAACGGCTCTTAAGGAATTGGATCTGTCATCCACTCAAAGATGTAGGAAGCATCAATAAAAGACTCGATGTAGTTGCAGAATTCACAGCTAACTCAGAAATTATGCAAATAACTGGCCAGTATCTCCATAAACTTCCCGACTTAGAAAGACTGCTCGGACGCATTAAGTCTAGCGTTCAATCATCAGCCTCTGTTTTGCCTGCTCTCCTAGGGAAAAAAATACTGAAACAACGAGTAAGTATGTATGCTCTGATGCCTTCCATGATTTGTATAGGGCTAAAGCATTATGAGTCAAGCTAACGATTTCTCTCCTCTTTTGCAATATTTCTAGTTATCCATTACATTTCTTTAAACTTATCGCACTGCAGGTTAAAGCATTTGGGCAAATTGTGAAAGGGTTCAGAAGTGGAATTGATCTGTTGTTGGCTCTACAGAAGGAATCAAATATGATGAGTTTAATTTGTAAACTCTGTAAACTTCCTATATTAGTTGGAACAAGCGGGTTAGAGTTATTCCTTTCTCAATTCGAAGCAGCTATAGATAGCGACTTTCCAAATTATCAGGTGCCCATCTATCTTGCAAATTCATACTTGGCAACAAAATTTCTGTCACTGCTCAAAGACATGTTCCCATGATCAATTGCTAGCCTTGACCGCCGTTCATTTATTCTTTAATTTGGTTAGGCGTGTGCTTTTATCAGCCGACAAAGTCGAATAGCTTGTTAATTTGTTCATACTGTTGATATCATCTGCATCTGGTCATATCTGCGAACTCACACCCCAGGGATACTAAAAGAATTTTATTCAAGTAGCTAGTATACGATTTTGGTTTGGTGTATGGTTTGATATGTATCTAACTTGAACTTATTAATCTTGTACCAGAACCAAGATATGACAGAGGAGAATGCTGAAACTCTCACAGTGCTTATCGAACTATTTATCGAAAGAGCCACTCAATGGTCTGAGGTCATTCACACCATAAGCTGTCTCGATGTCCTGAGATCTTTTGCAATCGCTGCAAGTCTCTCTGCTGGAAGCATGGCCAGGCCCATTATTTTTCCAGAATCAAAAAGTACAAATCAGAGTGAGGAAATAAAAGGGCCAATACTTAAAATCCAAGGACTATGGCATCCATTTGCAGTTGCAGCCGATGGTCAACTTCCTGTTCCAAATGATATACTCCTCGGTGAGGCTAGAAGCAGCAACATTTATCCTCGGTCATTATTACTGACAGGACCGAACATGGGTGGAAAATCAACTCTTCTCCGAGCAACATGTCTTGCCGTTATCTTTGCCCAAGTTCGTACACACTTGTAGTTGTTACATAAATCAGCCATTTTCTAGATATGACAACTAATTATATATTCTCTGTTTTGTTATCTTATGTGCAGCTTGGTTGTTATGTGCCTTGTGAGACATGTGAACTCTCCCTCGTAGATACTATCTTCACAAGGCTTGGCGCATCTGATAGAATCATGACAGGAGAGAGTAAGTTAATTTTTTTCTCAAATTACCTCTTCTTCAAACAAAAAACCAGTTACGCTTAATTTGTCTAATTGGAAAAGCTGGGTTTTTTCTGTTTGTAGGCACTTTCTTGGTAGAGTGTACTGAGACAGCAACAGTTCTTCAGAATGCAACTCAGGATTCACTAGTAATCCTTGACGAACTCGGCAGAGGAACTAGTACTTTCGATGGATACGCCATTGCATATTCGGTAACCTTCTCAGCTTGCACTCCTCTTTGATAATGAAAACATGCGTTTCAGTTTCCTGAAACTTGTTGGTTTTTATATCAGGTTTTTCGTTACCTGGTAGAGAAAGTACAATGCCGGATGCTCTTTGCAACGCATTACCACCCTCTCACCAAGGAGTTCTCGTCTCACCCACGTGTCACCTTGCAACACATGGCTTGTGCATTTAGATCAAGATCCGGCCAAGAACCACGTGGCTGTGACCAGGACTTAGTTTTCTTGTACCGTTTAACCAAGGGAGCTTGTCCTGAGAGCTACGGACTTCAAGTGGCCCTCATGGCTGGAATACCAAACCAAGTGGTTGAGACAGCATCAGACGCAGCTCAGGCCATGAAGAGATCGATTGGGGAAAACTTCAAGTCAAGCGAACTGAGATCTGAGTTCTCAAGTCTGCACGAAGAATGGCTCAAGACATTGGTTGGTATCTCTATAGCTGCCCACAGCGACATTGCTTTAATCGAGGATGAAGATGTCTACGACACATTGTTTTGCTTATGGCATGAGCTCAGATCCCAAGTAAAGGCGATAACATAACTATCTATAGCCTGTTATGTTTTTTGGCTTCTCTGATGCTTGGTTTTCTCGAAAATGGTTATATATCAAATTTATTTTCACGATTCAAGTCATATAATTTCATCACGTAGACTGATGCAGATGAATCGGACATAACTCATCCTAACCGAACTGATCCAAGTACAGCCACTTCTATTCTTAAGCACGTGTCCTCTTGTGCTCATGTGTGTACGCATCCATTAATGATTATGGTGTATATTCTCTTGCAAGAAAATAGCATTTCTTACAAAAGCTATACAATACAATACAGAGATTGCTTCGATGAGCTCAAGGGAGAAAAAACTACATTTCTTACAACAGCTACAATACAGAGATTGACTGGATAAGCTAGAGAGAAATCATCATAAACTGTATCTTCTTGACAAGGAAATATACCAACGCTTAATTTGAGGGAAATTGTCTTAAGCTACATTCTACTCATCCATATAAATAAATAACGCTGATTACATAAGTTGCAACCATCAAACACAAGTTACAAAACTTACCAGTTCTGAATTCCGTAAAACGAAACAACACAGAACCATTTTTTTGCCTCTAAAACAAACAGACCTAGTTTATATTATTAAGGATCATTCATTCATTCCTCACTGAGATTCACATCAGAATCATTCTCCATTTCCTCATCTTCACTCTCACCATCATGATTCTCTTGCTCTTCACGTAGCCTAGCAATCTCAGTCTGAGCTCTGTCCACAATTTGCTTCTTCTGCAACTCCAAATCTTTCTGAAAATCAGCTCTCATCTTCTCCAACGCTTTCATCTGATCTTTCTTACTCTTCTCCATCTTCTCATATATCTTCCCAAAACTCTCAACCGATTCCGCCAATAGCTTATACGAAGCCGCGTCATTCAATTTCTTCCTC